GAAAAAACCCTGTTTATTTAACAGGCAAAGCATTCACCAGCACAAAAAATGAACAGTATTAAACAACAAAACCTCTCAGTGCTCTGAAGAGATGACAAATTTAGAAAGTCATCTTTGTGGGCTGTAGCTTGGCTCACTCTGTTATCAGTCTCTCTGATGGAATGTAACTTCTTGGGCCTGGGGGGCCACAGTGTAAGCTTCTGGTGTTTTTCTGGGTTTTTAGTCCAGAGCAGGTTTGAATAGTTTCAAGAAAAGGCAAAAAAAAAAAAAACCTACAGTCTGGGGAATTTCACTGCCTCAGCTAGCAAAAAATTAATTAAAAGTAAAGGAGAGCTTTCTCTCGCTGTTCATTCCGCAGACAGCACAGTCCAGGAGCAGGAATGTGGAGGAGTGAGTGCCGCGTCTGAAAACAAACTCCACACTCCTCCTCTCCCCACACTCCACTCTCAGAATCAGTCTTAAAGGTGCAAAACTTATTTCTGGGCTAAACAGATGAATGGGGATACAGTTCACCATCATAAAGTCACCCTAGGACACAAACAGAGTCTCCAGTACTGATCTCCAGCATTACACTAAGGATTAATCTTTGCTGCTTTGCTATTCAGCCATGAACTCAGCCTAGACAGCAAAAGCTTCCACCTGCACCCTGCAAAGAAGAAGCAGACATAGTCTGGATCTGCCAGCATGCAGCAGCATTCTGGGGCCTCTGCTGCTGGTTTGGGATCAGGAACCTGCCCAGGGACACCCTTCAGCTCTTTGGGATGAAGCAGGGCCCCAGGCACTGCTCTGCATCCTGTCTAGGAGGGGACACAGAAGAGGAAACAGGAAAGCCTTATAAATATGATTGTCTGGCAAAAGATTTTGAGAATATAGAAACTATAAGCAAGATTGAAATGAAAGCAAGCTTTGAGATACCTTAGTTACTGAACAACTGGAAAACAATGGTGTGGCCAAGCTGAAGGTAATCCCCATTTGATGAAACAATACCCTCTGCCTGCAGACAAACCAAAAGGTCAGAGGAGACCTTACTAGCTTAGCAGAAGGAGTCCAAAAAGTAGTTTTTGGAGTTTAAAATGTAACAGAGTATAGTAATGTAGTGATTTTTATAGGCTGTATGTAAATGCTATAAGATTTGTATCTTGTACTAGATTGGTTAGTGAGAATCAGAATATTCAGCACAGAAGAAGATTTATTGTATTGTAATGGGAACCTCGCTCTCTTACCCTTTTTACTCCTCTTATGCTCTTGCTCTCTTACCCTTTTGCTCTCTTGCTCTCTTACTCTCTTACCCTCTCACCCTCTCTCCCTCTCTCTTCTCTCGGGCCTGCTTCGAGCTGTGGCTGGCAGCTCCCAGCAGGGCCCTGTGCCCAGGCCCTTTGCAATGAGCCACAGTTCCATGACCTGGCTTCAGGGATCTCTCGCCTCTGTCCCTCCCGACTGTGCTACCCCCGTCAATCCTACAGCACACGTGGAGTGTCTGTGCCCACCGTGGGCAGCAGGAACTGAGCAGTAGCAGAGGCCCCTCAGACAGCCCAGCAGAATGCACCAGGGTGTTATCAGCAGAAAAACAGCATGGGCATCGTTACTGACCAGTTTGTCACTATGTGGAGCACACAAAGGGCTTTTCTCTCCTGTCACTTACTCCAGTATGAATCCTGCTGAACACTGTCAATTTTGAGTAATATTAACCTGAAACAAATGTCTATATCAAGCCTCTTTATGTACACTGAAAGACAGGGCTTTGTTGCTGTAATTACATTTTTTTAAATATGTGAGTTGCATAAATCTCATAATCATTTCCTCTGCCTATAATGCTTGTAATCTGCAGTTCAAGAAGATTCCTAATTAATATTAATTCCCACCCTGTGCACAGTGTGTTTTGGCAAGTAATTAGGTCTGAAGGGATGGCCAAACACACTGATCTTCAAATACTGAACAATTTAATTACAGGCTTGTTTTCTGCGTGGAGCTGCCTGAGACATAGGTTTAGAAGAGAGCATCAGAGAGATCCAGCTCCAGAGGCTGGCTCTGGAGTCAGAGCAAGGAACGCTGCAGGAGGGGAGCAGGGCAGGCTGATAAAGCCTTTTTTCCCAAAACTAGATTCCAATGGAAGCCAGTATCAGCGCATGTGAGTGACTACCTGGAGGCTGCTCAGTCACACTGCTGAGTTTGCTGCAAATGCCTTCCTGAGAGAAGCTGACTGACAGCTGCAAACAGAAAGCAGCCACTCAAAAGGAAGAATGCATTAAATTTTAAAGGGGTTCAACAACAAAGAAGCTGCCTTTGTCATGGATTTGCAGAATAATTTCGCATGACTGCACATGAGAAACTACCCTCTTTACTCTTTAAGAAGTTAAGTCCTTTCCTAGATATTTCTAATGTTTTTCTTAGCATTTTTTACTCATTAAGATAATGCTGAGGTCACTTGTAAGCACAAGTTACTCATCTAACAAGGAGGAAACATCCCCTGTTCCAACCTATCACTAATTAGCAGTTTCTTTGATGCCACATAATGGGATCTTCACTGATAGGGGGAGCTCTGAACCCTCCACCCATTCTTTTTAACACATTCTAAAGAAATTGTGAAAATTAACACCAGTAAAATCACGTTGCACATCTCATTCAAATTTTCAGAGATGAAAGAGAATCCAAGTTGCTTCTGCTCAGTCAGAGGTGCCAAAAGAAGAGCTCCAAGTACCAGAACCGAATTGCTAATTTTTCAATGACATAAGTGATAAAGAGTGTTAATATAGGCAAATAGTTAAATGTGTAATGATTAGTAACAAATGCTTTATAAATGATTAAATGTGTTTGCACAGGTGCTTCAGAAAGGCCTTACTTGTAAACTCTTTACTTATAAACTGAGAGTAATTTTGGTGGATTTCAGCCAAGATTTGCACCTGCTGGAATTGCTAAATATAAACAATATGAATCAGAACATCTGACTGGGATCATAATAATTAAAGATGAAGAGAGGAAAAAAGAATAAAGTAATATTCCTATGAAGCACTGGTATTTGCTCACAGGATACTACCTGCACAGTCAAGGATGCTCACAGACTTTGATGGCAGAGTTACTGAATCTTGTACATCTATCAGAAGTAGAACACAAATAAGGCACTTTTAATATTGTGCCAAACTGATTTCCATTTCCTATAGCTGAACAAACTTAAATGAATGAGGATTGGCAGCAGCTACCAGAAGTTTCTGATTGATTATGGTCTTCCTAGTGCTAAACAATGATTTCAAGAAGTTATACCTTTTAGATCTCCTGAACTTTCTGAGAACTTGAAATCAACATTTGCTTTACGTGACAGAAAAACAGCAGACTATAGTATTGCTGCCAGTCCTGCTCTGTATTTTTGAATTAAACTGTTCTTATTTGGAAATGCCTGTGCTCACCACATTCAGTAGATAATTTTTTCCTTAAGGTACACTGCAATTTTTTACAAAATACCCTTGATGATTTCCATTAACTTAGATAACACAGAGCATGAACTACCACACACTAAAGACATTGAGAAAAATGAGATCAGAAAACACACAGCACACGAGTCCATACTTCCCAGATGTTTTGTGAAATGAAGAAGGTATGAAAAGAGTGCTTTCATACTTCCTTCCTCTCCTGTCTCTCTCCATTCCTCTCTCCATTTCTCCCTTGCTTCAGCTTTCTTACTGGCAAACATAAGTAAGAATGAGTTACAGGAATTAAGAATTAATTTTATGACTCCTTTTCTGCTTTGTAAGATGCTTCTAATGAGTCATTTTCACTTAAAAACTTTGCTGAATCTTAGCTATCTATTGATATTTACTGACTTTCCATTTCTAAATATAAGGCCCCATTCATCAAAACACAGAAGGAGATGCATAATTTTAATTAAACAGTTGAATTCTAATCCAAAGCAGACAGTAAAATGTCAAAGGCATCTCTTTGATTTGTGTTCTCCAGTGCATTGCACAAAGTGTACCTAGAGATAATGCAAAAGCAGGGAGGTAATGCATTCTAGAAGTCAGTGCTCCCAACTCATTCCAAATTTTGGTCTTCTCTCTGGGCTACACAATTGTTATAGAGGCTGGAAATAGTCTCGAGCCATAAAAGAAGAGCAATTACAACACAGAGAAAGTATCAGCACTGTTGGCAACATTTTAAGTGTATGTGTGAAAATTACTACCATTTAGTATCAAGCTGGAACAAATTAATATGTGAAGGAAAAGAGTAATATTGTTGATAAGACTTTTACTAGTCCTTTCTAGCAAGGTGACATCAATGATATGTTGATTTGACAGATAAAGATACAGTGAACAAATACAGTCAAGGCTCACTTGACAGTACTAAAAAGTCCTTTTGATTGAATAGTCCTTTTTTGGAAGGACTTTTCCCTCAAAATTAAATAAGTGAAGAAGTGCTGGATCTCCTCTGATAGCATTACTAGAAATCATGTACCTCTTTTCTGTATGTGATGAAATTTGCAGACACTGAGTGCATACAAACATCAATTATACACCACCAACATGAAAATGAAAAATCAGAAAAAGATTAACAGCTTTAAAATGAAGGATGAATACATAAGGAAAGACTTTCAACTGTAACATTCAATTAAGCTTTCTGATATGGCAGAAACTGTATCTGACATGCAAAAAGAATGGGAACCCAATTGTAAATTTTATATTAATACAGCAGAGATTGTTCTTTATTGAAACTGGGAAAGAAGAGTGGAAGAGAAATACCACATGAGAGGCTGTTACAGAAAAAAAAGGCAGGATAGGTTAAACCCACTGAATACATTAAGGCCAGTAAAGTAAACAAAGAAAAAAGGAAATATATGAGGAAAGATAAAGCAGTACAAGATTGTCCAAAAAAAGATAAAAGAGGCTCTGTTGATAGACACTGAAAGCAGAAACAGCAACACTGAAGGAAGACATGACAACATTTTATCAATTTTTTTAAAAATACAGGTAAAGTGCAATGAGGAGCAATGTCTGGAAAAAAATAAATCTCACCTTATTTTAGAGGAAGACAGAACACCTCCAAAACACTGCAAAAAAACCCCACCTTATTTTTCCAATGAAAGAAGATAGAACTTGATGCTTATTTTGTAGTAGCCAAATCTTCATGAGATTAAAGTAGTTGCTGAAAAATGAAGGAAGTTAAATTAACACATGCAATTCAAATCAGTGCAGCACAGATATGAGGAAATTAAATGGACAGCATGATATTTGGAGATATCCCTATGGTTCAATGGGAAGCAGAAATACCACAATCTGCTCTTGTTTCCATGGAAAGCCTCCAGTGCAGTCAACTCTGCTGTTCTGAAGTTGCCACTCGAACCAGACACAGGAAACATGGCAAGCATTTTCTCTAACTGATCCTGTGCAGACAAGACCTCCCTTCTGCCAGGCAACACAGAATAAAGCACAAGATGGAAGATGCCTCTTCTCCTGTATGCATGGGACTAGATTTAATGATGGAGTATCATGGCAGGTAGTACTCTCCTCTGAAATGTCTTGGGTGGTGATTCTGTCAAAGTACTAAGCAGAAGTGTGCCATGAGGTATATGCAGCTGGTAGGGGATGAACTTTGGTGACAAGACTGTATTTTCTGCTCCCCCACCCTCCCTCACCACCCTCACTCCTCCACTGGAATGGTTTCTGTTACTGGATCATTCCTGTGGAAATAGTTATTTCAGTATAAATGCAGACAGAGGAGATGGAAGGTTTTGCAGCCAAAATCTATCTCATTGTGAAAGGGCTGTCTTACACTTATGCCAAACAGGGCAGAAAATTAATAAATTAGAGATAGGCAATGCCACAGATGATAAATTATCTACAAAGAATTCTCTCTACTTAGAAGCTGGAGCTTTTACAAACTTGCATAACCCCATCCAAAACACAAAACAAATGCATTCTTTATATAAGTTAAAACCAACAAACTGTTTCCCATACATATTACTGTGCGGAAGAATTTCATAATGAAAAAACCCACTGAAATCAAGTGTAAGAGTCCTCAAATACAGTGCAGAGTCCTAGAAAAACAATGCACTCATCCTGTGCAAATGGCACAGCTATCAGAACAGGTGTCTGTGGAGGCTATTTAAAGTATTGACTTCATAAATTAGAAATGAAGAAGCCTTTAAAATGAGTACAGATAATGGAAACAGTGCAAACTGAATTAAGGAGAAGAGGGGACACGGATCTATTTTTCATGATTCTCCAATAACAGGGAGAATCAAACCAAAACCTCTGCAGCAGCCCCAGGTTTGGCTCCAAGGGGCTGCACCCATGGCACTGTACAGCACAGTCATGGTTGGTGGGATCCTGTTGTGAGAGCAAAAAACCAGAAACCAGCCAGACAGGATATGTCTGACCCACACAATTTGACTTCTGCTTTATGGTCTTACCAGCACAGTGACAATGTTTACTGGGAGAATGAAAAAGAGTTACAAACATCTGAGAGAAGAAAAATTGCATGAGGGACCTGAACCAATAACCTTCTTCACTGTATTTTAGCTCAAGCACAATAGCTACTTCAAGTGTTTAGAAACACTTTTAAAGTGAATTAGAATTTTACCCTGACTTCTTTGAGGAATTTATAGTTTAAAATTCATTTAACGCTACAGAATTTTACAATCTTTCCCTTGGTGAAAATATTCAAGTTTTGAATGCCCTCAGCTCCCCTCCAAAGTAACTTCTGTTTTCTTTATACTTAGTTCCTTTCTTTCAAAATCCAGGACAGTCTACTCATTCTGCAACTCTTTACCCATTTTTCTGTCACATTGTTTGTACTCCAGGTTATCTCTTCAACTACTCACAGAGATTTCAGCCAACTCATTCTATTTGTTGGTGGCATCTTGAGCAAATTTATAACACAAATTTTGTGTCAGAAAGTATATATACATGGACAATGTTTTGACAGCAGTCAGTTTCTTGTGTAGTTGATAAGACTGTAAAATTTTGTCTATAGATGAAAAGCTTAGTTTGAGAGATTAGAGAACACTTCCAGATGTTTAGTAAATCAGGATGTTCTATAAACCTCTTTGTTTATCTGAGACACATTTTCAAAGTCACCAGGGGGAAATAAGGAAAACCAAACATCCCCCCCCCTTTATTAAGAAAGCTGAGATATTTCCTCTATATATGCTGACACTGTTCTGTGGATGGAGAAATTATTTTATAAAAAATGCACAGAAGAACATTTCATAGCATGGTTAAAATTGTAATGTCTTAAGATATAAAATACAATGAGAGGGTTTTGGGAGTGTACTTTCCATTAACCCATCTGATACACTAAGGAGGAAAAAATAACAAGCTTTCAGGCCCACAGATCATAAACAGAGGAGGCAAAACATGTTTGGAACTGCAAATCAGCAGTGACACCTTTGTGTCCTAAATCTATGTGTATGCAAGCACAGTGTGCCATTGTGACAGCATTATTAAAGTCAAATATTCTTAAGCAACCTAGGAGAAGTCTGGGTTTGGGTGTCAGCAGGAGTCTTCCCACCAACTTTAGTGGCTAGGTTGATGCCACCTCTGGTAATTGTCCCTGAATTTGGCCCTGAGTTGAGGGCAGCACTGGCCAGTTTCCCAGTGACAGCTTTGGGATTTCCCATCCCTTAAACTCAGGTGCAGATCATGGCTCTCTCCTGGCAATGAGATCTGGTAGCTCAAACTTAATTAAAGGTCAGTCCAACTTAAGGATCCAAGCAAAAATTGAATCCATGTAAAAATTGGAGACAAAAACCAAAAAGAAGTAGTTCTGCTCCTGTGGAATCTTCCCAGGCTGCTGTGGCAGGAGGTTTGTAGTCAGATGCTGGATGAGAGAAGCACAGCAGCAGCGACAGTGCACAGATGCATGGGTATGCCACAATATCTACTGGATTGCTTCAGGAACAGTGGGCTTGTATCAATTTCAGCCTAGTCCACTTTAATGTCTAGAAGTGTCTCATCCAGCCTCTAAACTGCACTTTTTTTTTTAATGAGAGCCTGTTAACAGCTACCAGGCATAAGCTCAAATAAAGGCCAATGGTTATAAGCTGATAACTATAGGGAGGCCAGATGTGAGAATGAATGTAAAAGTACAATGGGCTGGAAGGAAAAAAGAAAATAAGGTGTCTATATAATTTGCCAAGTTTCTACCAAAAAAACCCCCACTTTCAAGTCAAAAGCACAACTACACTTGATTTATTCACTGTTGTTCACCTTGCTCCTACCTTTGCCTCTCAGCAGACTAAGCAGATTTTCATGAGTAGATTTCTTGTGTCTATGCCCACGCTCCATTCACATCTATATACATGAGCTGGAGTGGCATATGGCTCTTTAGGCAAACTGGATATCAGTTACACATAAAACCCAAATGTTATTTCCCTGGCTTTGGTGGAGTTACACACTGATTGTTTCAGCAGCACAGTACAATTTAAGTGCTAAACAAACCACAACAACACATGCATATTTTACTCCCAGTTTATTTTTTTCTAGGTCCCAGTTGGCATTTTCTCATTAGAAATATCAAATTATTGCTCAGACATTTGCTTGTATCGCTTCTTTTGCTATGAGCAAAGTTTTGAAAAGCTTCAATTCTTCTCATCTGGAGCCCCAAATTATTAGCTGAAAGTTTGAGCTCCAGTTCACGTAACTTCAAGATACCCTTGCTCATGACTTTGCAATTACCTTAGTAATTTAACTGAATATCTTGAGGTTTTAGGTCTCTCTCTGTATATCTTGTGTTTTATGTCTCTCCCTTTTTGAAAGATCCTGAATCCCAAATATTCATGTGATTTTGTATCTGGCATTTACTAAATTTTAAATCCATATTGAACCAGTTAGATCAGACATTCTTTTACCCTAATCCCAGTCAGACCAAAGCTTAGACTTCAAATTCCTGCACTTTGCCCTCTCAGATTCTAGATACCATTATGAAACTTCCAAATATGAGGAGCTGACCACAAATATTAGAAAGCTGCTTCAGAGATTATTCAGGTTTCATGTCAAAAACATACTATTTACTTCCTGTTTGAACTTTAAAAACCTCAGCTTCCACTCACTTATTCTTCTTGGGGCTTTGCAAGCTTTTTTAGAAGCTTTTCTCAGGTTGCTGTTTGTTAAAGGGGACTTGAGAGGACATCTGATTTCAATTTCATTTTGTTCCATATGCTACACTTTGTTAATGTGATTACTGCTTCCACATTTCAGTCTTTAATTAGAATTCGTTACCTGACAGAGCTTAGTTTCAACACCAAGTCCTTTCTCTTTTACACGCAGTCACAACATGTTCACAAATTACACTTCAGGTGAAAAAAAAAAAACAAACCTAACAACCAAACAAAAGAAAACCTTCAGAGTAAATTGCTTACAGAATAGGATAATAGGAATATAATATGCAAAGGAATTTTCCTTCCTATCAAAACTAAGCATATTCACTTCCAAGCCTTCACAGTCCAATTCATGGAGTTATACAAAGAGAAGAGCGGCGCCAAAGCTGGTTGTAGCACAAAGATAACTGGAAACAGAATATATTTCTTTCTGCCTCCCTAAAGCCCCGGATATTCGGTTACAACTTGTGGATCGTTACACGTATTTTATTATTGCAAAAGTTTTACGGTTAAAAGAGACGCTGCCTTGGTGTAGGTGCATTCACTACGCACAGGTTTGCACTATAAAGAATATGACCGGAGCGCCAGAAGTGAACGCGCACCAAGTTGCAACTCGCTCGGGGGCTCCGCGTTTCTGGGTGCCGGCGGGGCACGGGGCAGCCGCAGGTCGGTATCAGAGCCGGGGTGACGATGATGAAGGAGCAGCCCCGATGAGGAGCAGCGCTCCCGTCCCGCCGCCGGACGGTCCCGCCCGGCCAAGGGCGCCCCCCAGCGCGCGAGGCGGGCGCTGCAGGCAGCGACCACCCGGGCTCCGCGCTTGGGGAGCACAACCGGCGCCGCCGCTCCTCGCACCGGCCCCAGCCGCCCCCATCGCACCGGCCCCTGCCGCCCCCGCGGCGGCCGCTGCGGCCCCGCCGAGCCGCACCACTCCCGGCAGAAACACCTGTCCGGCCGCCGAGCGGCGGCGAGCGCCGCAGCCCCGCGCCGGCCGCTCCTCCCGGGGGCGGCGGCGGGGAGTCTCCCGTCGGGCCGCCCGCGGGGCTCGGGGCGCTCGGGGAGCGGGACGGGCGCGGGCGGCGGCGCTCGGGGCGCTCCTGCGCCCGCCGGGGGTTCCGCCGGGGCGGGCGCGGCGGCCGCACCTGCGGGCACTGAGCATGCGCGCGGCGCGGGGCACGCCGCGATTGGGAGCGCGGAGCCAGAGTGGGACGGAGCCGCCGGGAGCCGCTCCATGGGAGCCGCTCCATGGGAGTTGATGCCGACGCTGCCGCCGCCTCGGACCCCGCGCCCTGCGAGGATCCAGCTCCCGCCGGGGACTCCCGCCGGCCGCGCGGAGTCTTCTCCGGAGCCGCGGGCTGCCCGGAGCCGGGCATGACCGGGCGGGCGGCGGGGGCCAGCCGTGCCCCGCTGCCCCCTCGCCGGGGGCCGGGCGGAGGCGGCGCCGCCGCGCTCCCTGCCGCGCCGGGGGTGCGCCGCCCGGCCGTGCCCTGAGGAGCCGCGGCGGCGGCGGGGGGACGCGGGCGGCTCGGCGGCGGAGCGGCCGCGGGACCGGCGGCGGGGCGCGATGAGGGCGGCGGGGCGGCGGCGGCGGGGCGGCGGGGCGGGGCGGGGGCTCCGCCGGGCTTTCTAGGACGCCGGCGCCCCGCACACCCACCATGGATCTGCTGCTGTTGGTGAACACGAGCCTGGGCTCCCCCAACGAGTCCCTGGCGCTGCCCCCCGCCTCGCCGTCCTCCTCGGCCCTCCTGCAGCCGCCCTCCCCCTACTCGCCGGCGGCCGTGGCCGGCCTGGCGGCGGTGGTGGGCTTCCTCATCGTCTTCACCATCGTGGGCAACGTGCTGGTAGTGATAGCTGTGCTCACCAGCCGGGCGCTGAGAGCCCCCCAGAACCTCTTCCTGGTGTCCCTGGCCAGCGCGGACATCCTGGTGGCTACCCTGGTCATGCCTTTCTCCTTAGCCAACGAGCTTATGAATTACTGGTACTTCGGCAAGGCTTGGTGTAACATTTACCTGGCGCTGGACGTGCTGTTCTGTACCTCGTCCATCGTCCACCTGTGCGCCATCAGCCTCGACAGGTATTGGTCGGTCACACAGGCGGTGGAGTACAACCTCAAACGGACACCGCGGCGGATCAAGGCCATCATCCTCACCGTGTGGCTCATTTCAGCCATCATCTCCTTCCCGCCATTGATCTCCGTGTACCGGGACCCTGAAGGAGATGTCTTTCCCCAGTGCAAGCTCAATGACGAGACATGGTACATCCTTTCTTCTTGCATCGGCTCTTTCTTTGCCCCCTGCCTCATCATGGTGTTGGTCTATATCCGCATCTACCGCGTGGCCAAGCTAAGGACCAGGACCCTCTCTGAGAAGCGAACGATGCCAGAGGGGTCCTCCCAGACTGAGAACGGCTTGAGCCGCGCTGCCGGCGGCTGCACGTCCCTGAGAATGCAGCTGGGAGAGAACGGACATTATTCGGCGCACCACTGGCGCAAAGCCTCTGAGCTGGAGGACATTGAGCTGGAGGAGAGCAGCACCTCAGAGAGCAGGCGGAGGCGGAGCCGGGAGGAGCGTCGCCGCAAAAGCAAGAGCCAGTCCTTCTCCTACTCGTACTCCTCCAAGCACTCCAGTGGCCGCCTGTCCCGTGCGAGCAATCGCTCCATGCAGTTCTTCTCCTACCGCCGCCGCCGGAAGCGTAGCAGCATCTGCCGTAAGAAAGTTGCCCAGGCCCGGGAGAAACGCTTCACTTTTGTGCTGGCTGTGGTCATGGGGGTCTTTGTAGTTTGCTGGTTCCCTTTTTTCTTCAGCTACAGCCTCTATGGTATTTGCCGGGAGGCATGCGAGGTCCCCGAGACTCTCTTCAAGTTCTTCTTCTGGATTGGGTATTGCAATAGCTCCCTCAACCCAGTCATCTACACCATCTTCAACCAGGACTTCCGCAGGTCCTTTAAACACATTCTTTTTAAGAAGAAGAAGAAGAACTTCCGGCATTGAGCTGGAGGGATGGATTTGCCTCGAGCAGGAGTAGAGTTAACAGAGAAGGCTCAATGCTGGAAAAGAAGGGAGGGGAGAGAACGTGGGGCTTGGGCTTAGGGAGCGGGAAGAGGGCTCGCCCCCTTGGTGGAGCAGGGGGATGCTCTGGGGGACAGGGATGGTGGCAGGGGAGGCTGAGGGCACTCACCACGGTACAGAATGGTGACATGGAGCTGGGGAGCAGTGCTGGAGTGTGAAGGGGTGAAGGGGGAGGGAGTGACTGTGTTTGAACCCTAACAGAGGATATGGGGAGCCCACAGAGCAGAGTAGGCTGAGACACTGAGTTTGGGAGGCAGTGAGCTTTCATGGGCTCTGGAATTTTGTGGGGAAACAAAAGGAGACATCAGAAGGAGAGGGTTAAGTGGCAGTGGTGGTGGAGATTTGAGTATGTTATAAATAGGGCAGCTGGGGCCTATGGTGGGTTTGTCCCAGTAAGAAATTGGCTTTTACTGCTTGTGTGGGCAAGGAGAGTGCAAAGTACCAGGCACTGACAGTGTTTTGAGTTATGAAAGGATTTAAATGTTTGCCAAAAAACCCTAAAGAACAATCCAAACTCTTTTCTAAATAAACCTTTGTACTGTTAAAACCTTCTGAATCATGATTTTGCTCAAGGGATGAAGTCAAACAAAGCAAGGGGTTTTCTTTTCCTTTGGAGGGGTCTTTGCCTATAGATCTGGATGGGAAATATTTTTCCTATCTTCCTATAGTTTTTGGTTAGTCAGTGAGACAAATCCAGGAGTCTTTCATTTTTTCATTAAATATGAAAAAGGACACATATACCCCATGACCTCATTTCCTCCTGCTGGATCACCAGGCAGTAAATTCCTGCTCCATCCTTCTCAGATCAGTGACCTAAGGACCTTACTGTCCTGGAGCAGATAGTAAAAGAAAAAAAATTTCTGGTGAGCTTGCCTAACATTTTTTGAGATAAAATAAAAAAAAAAAAAATCAAGTTTTCACTTCTATGTGCCCAGGGGAACTTTTCCTCCCCTTTTTTTTAGTCTCCCTTCAAAGGCTAATCTCAGGGCTGGATGCGTGCTCCTCATTCTCAGGCAGGCAGTTGAAGGCATTCTGATGTGCAGGTTTTCAGAGGAAGAGCAATTGCCCCACTACTAAGGTCTTTAAATCCTTCATATTTGGAGTCTTAGAGCAACTAAATCCTTGCTATTTATTTTTTAATGAGAAGCATACATTGCAGATTGTCAGTGGTGTATGTGAACAAATCTCAAAAGGAGGTGCAGCCGTTCCAAACCTTTGGTGTTAATGTTGCTTGCTTTCCCTTCTTCTGTTTGCATTTCTAGTTTATGATTTTAGAGGATTTTCTTGGGAGGAGAGGCAGAAGAGGGGAGAATAGTTTGAAAAGTTATTAAAGCAAACTATATATCCCATGGGTTTATAAAATGTCATAAACTGCAATGAAGAAAATGAGAGACAGGGACTGGTGTCTGCATTCATCACTGAATGCATATCAAATGTAAGAATGAGCTGAGCATTTACATCCCTTCTTCAACTGTGCAAGGTGTGTATTCTGTACATGGAGCAAATACTCCTCCTTTCTGTTTATCACTCCTTCCATAGGCAGCAGGATTTGGCATCTGCCTCAAATGCACCTTTCCACAGCAAACAGGTCTTGGAGGAAAAAAAGAGTGAAATCTAATGCCATATAAGACTTCTTAAAACAGCTGAATAGAATATATTGAGGAATCATCAGATATCCCCCTCCTTACTCCCTCTGTTCTGTCTGAAAGGTGTCTGTAGCCTCTTCTTGTGAATTCTCTGTAGCATAAGGAAAAAAGAGCAGTCACTTGGTTTCATTAGTTTTTCATAATAAGCATTTGGTTCACTTAACCCTGGCAAAGGAGATTGTCAGTGGCTGAGGTTCTGGTTGTTCCTTCAATAGACTGTTTAACTCAAATTCAAGTGGGAGTTCTGCTGAGGTAGAGATTAGATGATTGCATCAAATGCATTAGAAGTTTGCTGGATTTCGCTAAGTAAACAACTGAGATATTTTCAAAGTCCTAAATCTGTAACTTATTGGATGCTTTCTTGAAATAAGGCTCAGAGTATGAAAAGATTTGAGCTTTGTTTAAATAACAAACGGTTTGGTACAAATGCATACCTGAGACAGATAAAGGAGAAATAAAAATAGCAACTGAGAGGACAAAATTACAAGCCATTTCTCTTTTGCAAAATGGAGAGTTCTTGTTAAAGTTAAGTCAAAAAGAGCTGAAACTAGCTCTTATTATTTCTAGGTAACAATGTAGCTAAAAAGTTCAGGTTTGTTTACTCTGAATAAACTATATAACCACCAGAGCAACCAGAGCAACATATGGTACCTGGCTACTACCTCTGAGCTCCTGGACAGCTTCATTAGAGGTGCCCATTCCTGCCAAATCAAGGTCTGCTTCTCTCACTTAGTGCTCCCTTAGAGGGGTTTCCCAGTCTGCAGACTCACAGTGGTTTGTTTCACGGTTGCACTGCTTTTGAAATGAGCTCTGTGGCCTGCAAACACAGTCCTTCCCCCTCTGTTTTCCTGGTAGAATTCAAGTAGTCTATGGAAATGAAATTCTGACAGATTTTAGTGGGCATAAAATATATATGAAATGACTGATGTGCCTTAAAAGTAAGTTCTTTGCAGTAAAAATATTCTGTGGTCATTATAAACATTAAAGAAATAATGCTTCTATTTTTTTTTCACTTCCAAATGTTTTAAAGGGATTGATGCAGATACTGAATATCTATAAGCAGCAACATAGTTAAAACCAGGGTATTTCTATGCTTTTCATTTTTCTCGTCACAGTTACTCACCTGATTCAATGTCTCAAGAGGGTCTTATTTCTTCTGAGCTAAACAAAAAGTAATATTCATTAATAAAGATGTGCAGTTTGCACCCCTTTTAAGTGCATTTCCCTCTAAATTAGTCAATACAGACGATTTCTATAAAAATTGTTTTTAATGTAACTACTGAATATGCTTCAAGTAAAATGGGGCTGATTTACTTTTTTTAAATACAGTGGTCTCTTATTACTTGTAATAGCTGAAGACTGGAATTTGTAACATATTGTGTGGTGTTAACTTTCCATAAAAAGTTTTCAGCTCTGCTACTCACACTGTGGTTGTGCTTCTACTGTAAGCTGGCTAATAGTGTCTACAGGAGAAAAATAGTCTATGCAGCTTTTGCTTAAGAAAAAGGGAGAAGATATATGAAAAATGTGTTGAGTTGTTTCTTTGATCAGATATGATAAACTGGTTGAAACATCACTCTCTACTGTTGTGGAAGAATGAAATATTGCTACTAAGCCATATCGATTTTAACAAGTTCTTGATCTTTAACTCTTCATTTGCTCATTTCACCATGAAGAAACATTTCTGTCATTCTTAAGTGAGATGTTGATGTTTCATTTTCAATTTTCTGAGTGGTGCTGTTGTTGGCTGGGTATTGAAATATCGAACAGTGTAACTTAGCTGGGATGGGAACTCAGTGCTGCTGTCCCTCAGCCACCCCTGTGGGAGTTTTGCGTGAGAGAGAAATGCAGAATTAGCCTCTTCAGGGCTTGAGGCAGATGGAAGAGGCCTTATAAATAGGAGATTTGACAGGATCACAACTTTAAATCATTGTCTGAAATAAGAATCAGGCCCTTGTTGTTGTTCTGTGCCATCTCTGTTCACAAGAGTCATGTTGCTGCGAGAGCACTGGTGGTTTCTGACAAGCAGGTCTGAGATGAAAGTCTACATGCAGCTTTGCGCACATTGGCCTGTATCATTCTTTGTGAGTAATCCCAGAAAACTTGAGTGGAATTTACCTGTGAGTCAGGAAGATACTCACAGTGGGCAGTGACTTTAGGAACTTCCTCAAACGTTGGCTCCTTTTTAGTAAACATGACAGAGGAATTTAAGCAAGCGCTGTGCGTAAATGTAGGAGAACAGAAGGAATGCAATCCTCTCTGCTTAACTCTTGACTACTGTTCAAACCCATAGAAGATGTGGATGAGGGGTTTTTTGACTGTATATTTTTAGTATGAGCTGTGTGAAGAACATTTGTGATTACATCTGTTTTCTGAGAAGAAAGCTGTTGGTCTGTGAGGGTTGGTATTGGCTAGAATAGCATCTGAGAATTGTAAGGATTTTGCAGGAACTGTTGGTAATGAAATCTATTTCAGTAGAGGGTTCTGACCCTAAACTATGACTGCTCTCTAGAAGGAGAGAATATCTACAAGCTGTGCAAAAGGAAGACCAGACGCTGTCTGTGAGTTTGTTTTTATGGTTGCTCATTTCGACCTTGTTGGTGAGCAGAAAGCAACTAGATGCTTCAGAGAAAAAGCTCTAATTTGGAGGGGGAGCAGTGCATGAGGAAATGGCTACCCACAACACTGAGGGAATTCATATTTGCATGCCTTCTTTCTACTGTGGTGAGGTAAAGTAGAGGAAGCTGCCTTCTTCATTGCACAATATGCAATGAAAAAAGCTGCCTTTTTCATAACACAATGTTTATTTGTGTTCCAGATCTGTGGGTCACCTGGGCCACACAAAAGATGTCACAGGAGAAAGCAGAAAGAGGATTGCTCACTTCAGTGTTCAACACCAAGCTTAAATTCGTCCTTTGTCCTTGAAATTAAGCCAAAAACACAGTTTGGCACTTGGGCCCAAAGGCTATGTAGCATCAATAATGGTACACTGAATATAGTCTAGTTTTAGCAAAAAGCATCAGTTCATATTATACACCCTGCACATCTCTGTTCCAGGGCAGAAGTAGGAGAGTCTGACACTTAAGTCATGTGAGAAAGGAATAATCAGCACTTTGAAGAGTCACAGGTGTATTGAAAATATACCTAGATCCAATTCTGATAACAGAGCTGGCTTTAGTTTTGTGTTTTGTGGGTCCCAATCACTTTGAGCTCATAAGAAAGAACTGGGGAGGTAGAAAACAAGGAAATAGTAGAAATGCTTCTTCTCAAGGAAGCAGAAAGTGGCAAATTGCTCAGGGTCATGTTCAGATGTTTATGGCAGCCCCACTCCAGTGGGGTTGGGAACAGTTACTGGGTTTTGTGGGAAAGGCTGAGGTGTCTTCCACTCACAGTGACTACCACACTTGATCTGAGCTGAGGAAATATCTACAGCTGGTACATTGCCTAGGTTTGAAGTGGCAGCCCTTAGAGTGCAGCAGAAGATGTTTTAAGTAGTTTATCTCTCCTCTGGCACATGTTCTTCACTATCCCAAACATTTTTTAATTCAATTGCACAAGAGTAGATAGGGTAGAGAAAGATTGTCAATCTTACAAAAAAAAAAAAAGGACAAAGAGGGTTGGAAAACAGTAGGTAATAAAACCCTGTGTCTTAGTCCTGACATAACACCTTACCATAATACCAATCTTTTTTCCCCCACTCCCCTTTTCTTTTGGAAAACAGAAATTCATGCAAAACTGCAGAAGCTTATTTTAAATAGGCTATACCAATGATACTGTTTACACTAGAAAAAAGAGCTTTTCTGTCAGTAAGTAGCCTTCTGTTGTAAAGCGATTTTCTTTGCTACACTTGTCTGAAAAATCTAATGAAAGGTAGATCAGCACTTAATTCAATTTGTCTATATGTACCTCTCTTAACAAAAATGCTTTATTAATGGTCCTGAATGTAAAGGACACAAATGAAATGTAGCTGCCTGCTACATCAAAATCAATTAGTTGTGTTTCAGCATTTTTGTGAACAGCAGTCATTCATTTTGCATGATGCTCTTTCCTGATAGCTCTCTGCTGACAGAGAAAGCTGTTCACCCTGTTGACAACAGGAATAAAATGAGGGTTCATATTTGCCTCCATTAGCTCTGTTAAGTGTCCTCTAATACACTAAAAAGCAGGCTGCTAGAGATAGGTCTTCTGGTGTGATGTCTAGAAAGTGACATGGATCAGAGAATTAATAACCCGACAGGTTCCAAGATGTACAGCACCCTTAATTGAGAGGCTCACCCCAGGCTGCAGGGACATGCTTCACTTGGTTTTGTTCTCTATGCCTTTGACCCAACATTGCAAATTATTTGCTCAGTAGTGGAACATTTTCAGCACACCATCCCTTTCAACCTCATCTGCTGGAGTAAGAAATTAATACTGAGGTCTCCCACTTCTTCACTGAGTGCTTTGGCCAATAGACTATTTATATAGGTGATGCAGCTAAAATGCCTTTCCTTTTGGTACATAAATGTTTTATTTGATCGAGCTTTTTATCTTTCAGTAGACTAACACTTGTTCCACAAGGACATTCTCTATCTGGAAAGCAAACACATGTCAAATACTTGGAGGAATATTAGAAATCCTGAAAAACCCCAGCCACTCCAGGTAAATTTTAAAAGAAAACACCACAGCTGAACTAAGAAAAAGGCTTAATCTTGTCTCTGGTGGGGCTGCCCTATCTGAACCCCCCTACTACTCTGGTGTGCCTCTGACCACATTTGGTGCAGTGTGTGGAGCTGTTCTGTTGGCCCCCTGCAGCTGTACTGAGAGGAGCAATTTCAAGTGTCCAGCAAAGATTAGAGAAGTTAAACACATGCTTATTGAATCATTTCACATTATAGCAGACACTCTCACTTTGGCTTTCTGTTCCCTTTTTGCACTCTTTAAATTAGCCCTTGCTTCCAATGTGACTGCCACGCACAGCCCTTGCTTGCAGTACCTTACATCCAATGCCTCATGCCTGACCTACAAGGGGCTGATGACACCCTCCTCCTCCTCTCAGCTGTGCTGGAAGGGCTCTCCAGAAGACTCTCCATGAGTCTGTGCTGTATTTGAGTACCTGGAGGAGCAGGAGTTACTGCAAGTTCTTGACTGATTCCAAGCCACACTGTTTTATCACTGGTAAATGCTTGTGTGCAGAGATTCAAAGTGTCTATAAATGTGCATTCCCTGAGGTTGGCACTGATTTGTTTACATCAGCAGCAATTTCTGTAGGTAATTAAAGGGAGAGTTTTAGTCAATCCATCAGATACTACTTTGGATATGCCACATGGAACATCAGAGAAACATGATGTGTTGTTTCAACAACACAATTAGCAATAGAAGTGATTAAAGATTCCTGGATGGCATGTTTTTTCTGTAAAAAAAAAAGAATGCAGCTCAATGAAATCTGATTGTTCTTTAAAGAATGTGTCTGTTTTACCCAGTGAATAATGGAATCCAGGAGACCTTAATCAGCTTCTGGGGGCCCAAGTGCTGCCTGGCCTGGCTGCTGGGTGAGGTGCCAGAGAGCCGAGACTTGCAGGCTCCTGGGCTTATGGACACTCAGCTGAGCTCCATTATCACAGCATCTAAATGCTTCAGAACTTCTCTTATACTTAGTCTGTCAATGCCTTGATGCATTAAGGAGTGACTGCTTTTTTTCCTGATGAGGAACTAAAAGATTAATGGGAGTTAGGTAGGTAGATCATAAAAACCTTCTGATTTTTGTGGATCTTTCCAGTTGCAAGCCCATTATTGATTGTCAGGCCCTTGCTAAGCTCCAAAGTGTACAGTCTCACCTGTGCTTTAAAGTTCTGCTTCTTCTCCCTCTGTGATTGCCATAGGCCCACAGAACTTGCACACAAATCCCACCAGGTTACCCAAACTCAATGTGCCTCTCCTTTGCTTGTCCCCACTGGCAGGGAGCTCATGCAGTTTGGATATTGCAGAATAAGGAAAAAGGAATGTACTACCTCCACTTTGTGGGGGCACAATGATATTGCTGCCATTTCTTTAAGGTCTGTGGTGTTTTAGTCACCAGTGTGCTGGAATCACACTGCCATTTCTGGGTGCCTACTTTTACTGTGTGTTGAACAAGTTCCCTCAGGGTATAATTGACCTATGTCTTATACCCCAAGGGAGTGGACTTTTTATCTACTCCTGGCAAAGTACAGAAGTCACAAATACTACCTAAAAAATAAAATTACCAAAGATCCCCCCAAAACTAGTCCATTGATACAGCCAATCTCACTTATGGGTCAAGGCTCAAACTCATGTAAATTTAAAAATAAAGAAAAAATTATAAGCCCAGGGATCTTACATATCTCCCATTTCTTTTAGTGCAGATCTCTCAGGATACAATCTGGATCACTAGATTCTACTTTTCTCAGACTTTGAAGGTCACCTCCCTTGAGGTCACTGAACCTATGTCTTCAGTAATGCAGAAATTTCCTGGAAACTCCAATGAATGTTTGAGAGTCAAGAAATAACAAACATGATTCCAACACTAGGCAGGATGAACTCCCTCTCTGGAAGTGTTGTTGGGAATGAACATTCAGGGCTGGGCTATGTATATTTCTCAGGCAAAATTATGACTATAGAGGGATCTTGAGTTCCAGGTGAATGTTTTGTACAGAGGAGGCTTCCTGACAGTATTCACCACCTTCAGAGGTGTCAGTCAATGTCTGTCAAACTCATGCTTGTCATAATAAGGAATGGGCTTGTCCCCAGATATGTTTTTAAAGGGGGGGGAAAAAAAGAGGTAAAAGTAATTCTCTAAAAATGTAATCATGCATAGAAAATATGAAAGGAAAAGGAACGTGTCTGCTGCTGAAGACTTCAGCAGCAATTCATTCTTACCTTATTCTGCCATATCCAGCTAGGGATAACTGATGGTCACATAGGTTGAGGCTGCCCTTGGGTTACAATGCTTTCAAAAAGTGTCATAACATTTTGTGTGTTAAATAGATTTCTGCTGTGGTAACAGTTACTATTAATTAATAACAGAAATTGTGCTCTTTTTTTCTCCTTCCAAGGAGAAACAAACAGAAGGTATTTTACAGGACTACAAAAATAGCTATTCCTTTTCTACTTTGGTAAGGCAAGAAAAAAAAAAGGAAATAAAAGAAAGAAAAGAAAGTAGGAACAAACATATTAAATAGGCATTAGGAATTAGGAATTTAGGATGCAGATTAACTATTTCCTTGTCTGATTCATCAAGCACAACTCAATAATTAACTCAGTGCATTTACTGATCAGTGAGGTTTTATGTGTTATGTAATAAAGTATCTCAGATGCCCAGAAAGGCTGTGCTGTCTGTCCTCAGAGAGTTTCAAGGCCCAAGTGGATAATGCCCTGAGTAACCTGGTCTGGCCTCACTGGGGACCCTGCTTTGAGCCCAAGACTGGACTGGAGGCATTCTGAACCTGAATTAGTCTGTGATTCTGGGACCTGTTTCTTCCCAGTAATAAACAAAAGAAAAGTCCCAATATCTGGGTAGCATCAAAATGATATTCTGTAGAAAGTTGCAGATATACTGCTAAAGGTGGGTAAATCCTTAGGCCATTTGAATATTTAGATCTCTAGAACTTTTATATCTGCTGTGTGCAAATTCTGCCTACCACACATTTGGCTGGATCCAGGGCACAAACCTTTTATTTATTTAGAATAAATCTAGCAACTAAAGAGCTCTACAGCATGTTCCCTACCCCTGCTAAATCCCACTCCCCCACAGTTCTTAGCACTGTAGAGGCACGTAAACATACAAATATTTTACAAGCATTTTCTTTAGAACTCCAAACAAAATACTGGTTTGGGTTTATTTGTGTGTTTTTCCCAAGTAAAACAAACTACACTTATGGCCAGGAGCTCAAATGTGTCTTTCTGACCCACCGGCTCTGAAATGGTGAAGAATGTAGTTCATAAAGCACCAAGTCACACCGTAGCTGCTGTGGGTGGCATGAAAGCAACAAGGAAATGATTATATTTCCATAACAGCTGAAGACTTTAGTTAAAGCCTGAGCAATGGGAAATCTCTGGCATGTTGCTTCATTCCTCATTCATTTTTGCATGGAAGGTGTCTGACCTTTCTGTAGAAGTGGCATTTCTGAAGATCAGGGGCTAGCTGAAGAATTTATGAATATGTTGTCATGTTTGGAATTGGAAATCCTTTTCTTCCTTTCAAAATGCCAGTAATATTTCTGACATGACTATGATGCAGATGCTATTGTTGGGAATAGCAATACAATTGTTGCAAGGTTTTTTTTATTTTTGTTATTGTAAGTTATATGGTTTGTTATTTGTTTCCCACTAAATATATCACAGGGCCAGAGAATGCTCTCAAAACACCATTATAATCCTTGATGCAGCTTGAAAAAGTAGAAGTAAAGGTATATAATTCTTCTCTGTGTCTGCCCAAGGAAGGAACAAGGTTCCAAATCTGCAGCAAGGTGTGAGCAGCTGGTGCTGGATTCTCTGCTCTGTGCGCAGCACTGAGGCAGCTGAAGCCTGCCTGGGTGAGGGAGGGGTGAACCAACAAACAGCCTGACAAAGCCGCAGACTGCGTTTTCTCCTCCAGCCAAAGGCCTGACAAAGCCACAGACTGCGTTTCCCCCTCCCTAAACTTTCATGGGATCAACAGAGTAGAGGTTCCATTGCTACAACCGATAAATATGCTGTTCTGCTTAGTTCTAAAACCTATTTCTTTCTGCCCATCTCCACTGCTTTTACAAAGTTCCAGTGTGTCTTAAAAGCCCTTGTTATTATTTGCATTCCTACCTGGCTTCAGAAAGTTCAGAAAACCCTTTGAGACTCTATTCTGCCGTGATGGTGACTCCAAAAATGCTTCTAAAACCCAGAAGTTTTATTTAACCTTTGATAAAGGTGTAAGGTAAAAGTGTTACTTCTGGGCCCAAAACTTTTAGCACTGTTTCATAAGAGCAAATGGAGAAAGTATCAAGGCTTGGACAAGGATTTGGTCTAGTTCCATTGCTGGTCTCTAGCCCAGAGTGCTAAATGCTCTGAGCCTTTGAACCTTTACATCTTTAATATACAGGATATGCACAATAATACTTCATTCATAAATACTTTTGAAAGTTAAGGACAAAAAATTGCTGCAGAAGTCTTAGATCATTATATAATAAAGATCCTGGATGGTTATATAATAAGGACTTGGAGACAGTCACTGAGTTACCACACACTAAGGAGTTCATCTGTCCTCTGGCTTTGCTTTAAGTTATTTGAAGTGGTGAGAGTTGCAGTATGCATTATCAATGTCTGGAAGTACCTCCAAAAACTTTGAGTTTTCTATTTGATGTACCTACAGAAGACATTACAGAACTGACCATTTTTCAGTGGATGTGTCAGTCTCTTTTCCCAGGTAACAAGTGAAAGGACAAGAGGAGATGTTCTCAAGGGGAGGTTTAGACTGACTGGAAAAATTCCTTCACCTAAAGGGTTACCAGGCGTTGGAACAGCCTGCCCAGGGAAATGGTTGAGTCACCACCCTGGAGGAATTTAAAAGATGCATAGATGTGGCACATAGGGATGTGGTTTAGTGCTGGACTTGGCAGTGCTGATTTAATGGCTGCACTCAAGGGTCTTTTCCAACCTGAATGATTCTATGATTTTAGCTAAAGGCCAGAACAATTTTTAGAGGAAATATTTTGCCATGTATTTTGTTGCTTACCTTAAGTTGCTATTATTTGTAAACTTTCAGGGCAGAAGCCTCTCACTGTCTGTGGTACCGTGTTGGGAAGGAGGTATTAATCTCTGCACGAGCTGGGATTCTGGGAACAGTGCTTGCATTGAGACTTTGATGTTTCTAAAGCAGGTCCTGTTTTGGGGTTTTTCATGTGCAATCCTTAGAAGCCTGGTTCCTGCTCAGGATACAAATAATGACAAATTGTCTGAATGTGAAAAAAAAAAACTCTGGAAAGATAAATGTCAACATTTTGTCTGCATATATCCAGAAAACTGCACTCGTGAGGCCTCCAAATCAGTGTGCTCTGTTTCTGTTCTTTGAAGTTATTTTTGTAACTATTTCCCAAGCAATTGCACATCCTACGACGAGAACTACATATGTCCCAAGATTAAAATATCCGAAATAAGCCATTTTTAAACCTTTGATGGTCAAAACAAATGATGAGTGCTTTCTTTATATGCTAGCTGAATTTTCAACACATACACCTCAGTAATGACGCTGTGGAAAAATAAAGTACAGTTCAGGGTAACAATATGTTTTTATTTGGTATTGTTAAAACTGTAAATTGTCCTCTTTGATTTAGTGCATACATAAATTTGTCATGTCCTTTTAAAAGTTTGATTTTTTGGGGGTGTTTTTTGTGTTTTTTTGTTTGTTTGTTTTTGGGTTTTTTGTTTGTTCAGGTTCTATTTTTATTCTTTTTTAAAGAGCAAACATACACACACAGCGTCAGGTAAATATTTCCATGGATAGCCTCAGGGTCCCTTGGCAGGAATGTAATTGGCTGTGCACTCTCTGTAACTGAATTGCCTTCCTTAATGATGGTATATTGGCTTTATAGGCCCCTGACTGCTTCTCTTTAATACCCATTAATTTTCATTTTACTTTTTTTAGTGAATGCCCCTTTCTCTTTTTCTTCCTTCATGTGTCATGCCCGTTTCACAAACTCCCTGCAAAGGTGAGGTGAGTGCAAGGAAATAAAGCAGCAAAATGACTGCAAGCTGGCATTTACAGACTCCTGTTCATTTCAAACGCACGAGTCCTGCATGGCAATTGAATGAAGTGATCTCAGAGCCCAGCAGCGCACACAGGCTCTGTCCTGTCACTCACAACTCCATCCCCCCAAAGTAAAAGAGGTTCTGCTGCCTTATTATCTTTTAGATTCATATATCTGCAACATTCTTATATAATTCTTGCTTTGGGTGAGTATATCTGGGGATGAATTTGAATAATACATAAAAAAAAGAGAATACCAGTCCTTCAGTGTGCACCAGCTACAGATGGCTGCTTGTCCATCAATCTCACGTTCCAGATGGGGCCTAGGAGAAACCAGCCCATAAAATAAACATCATTTAATCACTGATGAAATTATCCAGGGCAGATTATTTGGGTTCTCCTCCATTCTTTTAGACTTCAGTTCTGTACAGGAAAACAGTATGTGACATTTCAGCTCCCAAGGTGTTGAGAAAATTAGCGTTTAGGTAAACTGGGCTCTTAAAGCTGTAACTGTGGCTTTGCTGAAGTTATGATTAAAATAATCTGGTAGAAACAAACAGATTCACCATATGTAACACCAAAGCATCATTATTTTATTACTACTTCTTGCAAAATCAGGTAGAGAAATACTGAAGTATTTACAGCTCCAGTCTTCTCATGCTGCAACACAGCCTTATGGTATTGATTAGCAAATCCTATTCAGAAAGTACTATACATTTGTGAAATGGAGATGTGCTGTCAAAGAGAACTCATTTTGCATGGGCCAGCTATTGATGGTTCCTCTAGAACTGATCCATCACTGTAGTTGAATTCTGGGGCTCGGGGGGGAGAAAGGCAAAGAGCTCTTACCTTGTGAAGGCGGAGTTAAGCTTTACACACCTGCTGTGTTCAGCTGCTCCACAGCTGGTGCCTCCTCTGCTCTGAGGACAGTGGCAGAGCTGCTGGGGGGTTTTGGGAAGGGAGCACGCAGGTTGGTGAGATTGATGGGCAGCAGCACTTTGCAGGAGCACTGCGGGGCAGCAGCCGAGCTGAGTGGGCTGCCCTGTTCAATGCACCCAAAGCTCGGAGCCAGCTGCTGCTGCTGCCCGGCAGGACAAAGCAGGGAAATCCCCTGGGAGGGGAGACAGACAGACTTCCACGGAAACCCTGGGTACTGCAGCAGCTTTGGGAGGTGGGTGGAGGTGTTACTAGAAGGACCATCTGATCAGGATGGAAAGGGAGGAAACAAGCTATCACTAAAGCCACCGAAGATGGGAATCTTTCACTCCTGTTTTTGGAGGAGTTTTCCTGTTTTCACTCCTGATTTTTATGCTGTGTCTCCCCAGGTTATGATGTGTTTATTCTTGTAGAAATGTTCCATTTACATATATCTATAATGCTAGGAAGTGGGGAAGATTTTCCTCTATGCTATCCCACAGATTATAGTCAGTTTTCAAAGACATTTTGATGAAAACAATTAATTAACAAAATTGGAACTCTTAATTGTACCAGTGGCTGCCTAGCAGGAGAACTGGAGTTAGTTTTCAGTGTTATTTTCCCATTTTGACAATGTTTTTTTATTGCCTTAGTATTTCCTCTTTTTTTTACCAAAAGGAAAACAAAAAACAATATTGGGAAAAACTCTCCCAAATCCTATGACTGAAAACTCCTTTCTCTATATTTTATTCCTTTGCACTTGCCTTCCCACTTTTACTGTTTTTTTTTTTTTTTCCAATTTGACTACAGAAGTGTGGAGAAAATAAAGATCCTGAAAAAAATTTAAGAATTTAACAATCCCTTTTCTTGAAAAAGTTCATAAAATCCAAACCAGACAAACAGTAGGAAGAGTGGAATGAAAACAACTGATGACTAATAAGTCACTTGTTGTCAGAATTTTTTTTTGTGAGGTATCAGAGTTTCTAGGCTAGAAACCCTCATTTTCCATTTGAGCTCAGAGGTGATAAAGTAAGTACCTTATAGGCATTTTTCTGCCCTTGGATTTAATCTTGAATAACTTTTGTAATGTTTTTGTTGGAATCTGGAATTCCCCAAGGTTAACTTGACAAACCACAACTCTCACAGGGCAGACTACCAAGCACAGGGCTACAACACAGCAGTTGCTGGCTCAGACAATGAGCACTGGTTTCTTTGGAAAGTGCTGCTCCATCAGCAGGGCAAAACTCAAGGTTGCAATTTAGGTAACTTCAGTCTGGACTTAAAAAGTAACTTTATACATTAAAGGTGTAACTTTGGGTTTTGAAAGCAAAAAGCCCTATGTTCAATCTCTTTGCTTGGATTATAACCATTTTCCATTGTTATAGTTTAGCAGCTTTTGAAAATATTTTCAGGAAATCTTTCGTTGTCATAAAAGAATACCTTTTTTATTCAGTCCCTGCCATCAATACTTTATGTTTTCATAATATGTCCAATCAATAAAACATTTACTATCATTCCATCAGAATAAAATGTTCAGGATCATCTACTGTACATTGCTTGATTTGTGACAGCTGTAAAGCCAACTGATCAGCAAGATGACTTTTTAATCATATGCACGGATGAAAGTATTTTACTGAAAAGGAGACATAAAAAATAAGTAGATCATTATTACTGAAGCACAGATTGCTTTATATTTTTATCTTCTAAAATGCAGCTGAGAAGATCATTATTAAGAAGAGAATGTCATTTTTCAAAAGCATTTGTGGCAGTAACATCTAGTGAGGCTTTTTTATTAACTTCAAGTGGGAATATCTGTTACATAATACTAATCAATTGTTTCAGGGCAAAAAATTCAGAGGTAAATGATGAAGAGAAAACATTTTAGAGGGCATATATTCAGAAAGTTGTTTTAGAAACTGCTACAGAATTGGAATTAGAGATTTCCTGTGTTCTGTATAGTGGATAGTAGTGAGTAGTTTTCCTCAGATAAAGTATATACATTTGGTACATGATCCAAGTACTTTCATCTTACTGTGATAGATATGGAGGCTATTTCTTTGTATATAGATATGAGATTTCAAGCTGTAGAGATAATATATTAGGTATGGGCAAGAAGTCCAAAAGAAAAAAGTTTTCTTCTCAGGGTGGGATGTGTAGAACTGAATCCATTCCAGGATGTAAAGGGAGAAGTTAAATTTCATTTATAATTGTGAATCCATGTTTCAAGCTAAGCCACTGAATTTTATCTACTTCTCTGCCAGTAGCCATGACACTTTTATTTCTTTTTATTTCACCTTCTCCCCAGTAGGCTTCCCTTATTGGCACAGATAAATTCCCATATCAAAGACAATTTCCAGCTGACTTTAGGACAGTTGTTATTTAATTGGCCTCTTTAACAGTCTTTGTCACTAAAAGCTTCTGAAAACTCTTGTATTTGAAAAAGGCTTTGGGGCAAATTCCCTGCTGATATTTTTCTGTGGAGTACACTGGTAACTAATTGCACCTAGGAAATTCCACTCTCACTGCAGTATGCTAAAATTCTTTCTCTCTGGTAGCTTGGAAAAACTTTGTGAAAATAGCCAACACCAATGCCCTGGCCCAGCACCAATAACAACCTCACAAGCCACAGCATCCATCTTCTCCCCTAAGCTGCTGAGGAGAGCTGCCTGAAAGAGGTCCTGGGCCTAGAAAGCACAGCCTTTAGCAGGAGACAGGCTCCTTAGCCTGACTGAAAAAGGACAAATTGCTTTGCATCTCCTGGCACAAGGATTTACTGAAGACAAAATTACCCCAGTGCCAACAAGTAGATCAAAATCTGCTTTAGTTTTCTGAGGGTTGAGAGGCCATGAGGAGAGTTCAGGGTAGAGGTAGACATAGCCTGTTTCATGATTACAAATTTTCCCTGTGTACCATAGTTATTAAAGACCTGTTGATTGACAGGTGGGCAGTGTGTACATTTGTGCTTCAGTGTACACAGGTGAACAGTGCCATGAAATACTGCTCATTCAGCTGGAAAGCTGCAGGGATAATTGGGCTTGACTCAAAAGGAAGTAGAAACTAGAACAGGAGAGATAATTTTAGGATACTGTATTAACAAAAGCAAAAGGAGGTCATTTTTCTGAGTATATTTTCACACACAGCAACCTAAATCTGACAAGCCATCACAAATGCCAGGCACAAAGATATTTGCATTTCTAAACACACCAAGTGCTTAGAAGCTAAATTCTTTTTCTGTAAGATCGTGGGACCTTTGTGAACAAAGCCAATGCCAAGAGCTGCCTGTAGAAAACATCTCTGTTAAGAGCTCTATTCTGAACCT